AGCATGTACATAACAAACATAATATCTGGAACAATATCCTTTCACAATAAGTATACCTACTTGCAAAAAAAACAGAGGTTGTACTATCATCAAAGTGCACATATATATAAAGTCAAAGAGAACAGTTACATGCATGTGTTGTATATGAATACAATAAATATCTTATTTAAATGTGCCCATGCACGTAAGTTATCAACTTTATATCGAATTCCGTTTGCTCATTACTACCATGATTTATAACAGCGCTCAGGAGTGCCAACAAAATAAGACAAAACAATGGACCAGCAAAATCATTGTCTAGAAATGTAAAAAAGCGGAAAACTTAATGACATTGAACAGTTTTCGATAATTTGAGACTTTCAATCATTAAAATAATTAAATCAAATTCGGTCTACCAGACATTGCAAATACATATCAGTTTTTCTATGTTGTTACGTTTATAAAAAAAAGCCTTATACACATGTCGAGTACCTACATATCCAATTATAATCTGAAAGCACCGAATAATCCAAGGTAAGTTGAGAAATCCAGTGATATCCTTTCTAAGATTCGAAATGTTACGAAGGAGGCTTGAGATATAAAAGTGGATTTCGCGTCTTAATTGCATGCGGTAGAGCATCAAACACCTGTTATGCTGCCGCATAAAATACATCATTATAATGTGCACTGTTAAAAACCAGCACTGATTTGGCCTAGTATTTCAATAAGACGTCTACACGAATGTTATTTTAATGTCTTTGTTTTATGTCCCAGCTTATTTATGCGTAAAGAATAATCTTCGGATACTTTCTACTGAAGAAGCTCCATCATCATCATCATCAAGATGCATTCTCAATACTTAATGCTCCATTCTCTTCGAGCCCAAACATCAGAGATCATCTTTCGGTTGGTTAAATAGATCAGTCCAGATAGTATTCATTATTCATAATGTGTCCGAAAATAATGAGATACCCTTGCGTCGGACTATCCGCTCGGACGGACCGCTTCGGTAAAAGGGTTAAATTTTATTCCACCACGTTCAAAGACCTGTCACTGGCTCGACTTGACATGGAAGAAGATCGATCACTTGAAGTTATAGGGAATTAAAAACCGAGGTTTAATGAAACTGCGCTGAGAACTAACAGATTCATTGAACAGCAATATCGACTTCTTATCCGTAGAAGTAAGGGAGTTTTCCAGCGTCCCCAAGATTATATGCTTTACATTGAAAAAAAAACACAATTTTAATACACATTCTTTCATTATTTACATTTTGATTCCTAAGGTAGTAGAAGGAGCATCATTCATCTGCAAACTGAAATGCTGTAATAACAGCCAACATTTTAAACAGTAAGTAAATATTTTTTGTTAGTTAACTGAAACAAGTTCAATTTTTTCACCATAATAATACCGTTTCGTCGCAATTTATTGCATACCTTTATTATTTTTTTATATTATTAATTTATTAACTTTAACATTTTATGCACAACTTTTACAGTTGGCAAATGAAGAACCCACAGACTTTCAGGAAAAATAACTTTCAGCATCAATTCAATCAAAATCAACGCTTGGACAGGGATAGTCAACAACAATATTATAGAACCAGTAGAATTACTCGAAAATCTAAATGCTGCAAATTATTTACAACATTTGCAAAATCAGCTACCAGCATTAGTTAAAGACGTTTCCCTATCAATAAAAGGACAATTTCGGTTCCAACATGCCGGTGTCCCTGCGTGCTTTGCATTAATTGTAAGAGAAAACCTAAATAACGTTTTTTTCCGTAGATGGATTGGACATCAAGGACTTATTTTGTGGCCACTACGCTCACCGGATTTAAATCAACTAGATTTCTTTTATTGGGACTGTCTGAAAGGAAAAATTTACTTACGGCTTGCAGACATTCGCGAAGAGCTACGGCAAAGGGTTATTAGAGCAGCGCAGCAAATCAGTCAAACTCAATGTCGCTCAATAAAAATATATTTGGGGCACTTTGAACATTTACTTTCAGTTAAGTTTTTTTGCGTTATTTGGAACAATATTTCATATTAGTTTTCGTTGGCAGCCCGTTTCAACGGTATTGTTATATATTGGACACATTTTACATGCCTCAGCAAACAGCCCAAACAAAAATTTATTGTTTAACGAATAAGTACTTATTATACCATTTCAGATTCCAAAAGAATGGCGGTATTTTTTGTGCTTATGAACATCGGGCTATCCTCCTTTGCTACAGTATCAACAAAAACATACAGTATAAGGAATCTGTACGAAAAGAAAGTTTGTTTTAATATACAAAGCATACATTGAAAATCTTATGACGAGCTTTTGAACTACGGCCATTCCCGAACCAAAAATACAAATGAAATAATTTCTGATTAATGTTACATAAGAGTAAAGGTATGAAATATCAAGGGAAGTCAGTTTTGGTCAATTTTCAAAAAAGCGTAAATATCTCGAAGACCATGATAGTGCTATTAATTAATGCAAATTTTTCATTTTATGCCTTTTTCCGGATGGACCTTTCACCAGACGAACAATTATTGAAGGTTTTACGGGGTAACCTGCATACCTACATTTCCAATTAATTTCTAATTTAAAACCAGCGAAATTTTCACCAATATGTATTATTTATCTCATGGCTCTTGCACCGAAAGAAACCAAACACCATTAAAGTACCGCCGAACAGATTTAGATGAAAGAACACTAATCTATCATGAACCCATTCATTAAGCACTGTTCAAACATCCACAGGTCTTAAGAGATTAAACTACAGTCCACTCAATTGCGCATTAGATTGATTTACAGATTCTATTGAGATTTGAAAAAACAAAACAGAAATATATTAAATAACCAACGATTAGAAACGATGCCCCCATTTAAGTACACAATACAAATTTAAAAACACAATTTGTATTTACGGGTAACTCACGCTACAATCTAGTCAGTATCACAATAATCGCAAATTAACTAACTGAAACTGATAGGCATGATTGCCGTAATCCTTCAGCTAGTTTTTCCTTAACACACGGGGAAATTCAATCAAGTCAAGTGGACAAAAGTATCTGATGTCATCAGTATTACGTCGAGAAATCACCACCAGATATACGATAGAGTTTCCCCTTATCCAATGAAGCGGAAAATTAATGAACAGCTGGGATGGCATTATTTACTGCTGATTATTGTTTTGATTATCTTTTTCCACATATATTTGCTCCGAGTCGCAACGGACCGCCGGAAGAAGGAAATACAACTTTCGTAAGAATGGATTTGCTGCGAATGCAGGATTCGAATATTACTTTATGTACAAAATATCCAAAAAAGTATTAGAGTTAAGCATGTTTTAGTAACCTATTTAAGGTTCACTTCACATCGAACCGTTCAGTGATCAAAATAAGCTAAAAAAGTCGAACATTAAATAATACCCTGCAAGGGTTTTGAATGCTTCGGGATTGGGCTCACACAATGGTCTTAAAACTTTAAAACTTTCCCAATCGCTTATTGCAATAGCTAACTTGAAATGAAGATATTCGAAGTTTTAAATGACGTTTAAAAATTGCATTAAAAATGTTCAGACTAACATTTATTTTAATTAGTCCTTCACTGATCATTGAACTTTTAAATGTTTGAATGTCAAAGTTTTGTGAGTTTTCACAATAAATCATTCATTATTGTCAGGTCTATAGTGGAGATTTCTGATAAATGAGCTTTACTAATATTTGCCTAGGCAGATGTACAGAAGTCTGAAATGATTATTTAGATGTCAAGCTAAAATAAAACTAAAAGTGGTAGAGGTGTCGACTTGGCGAGACAAATTACTTAAAAAAAAGTTCCGTAAAATTTTGAAAGCAAAAGATTGCGTTTGCATTAAGATTTTTGCTTTGTATGCATCTGCATTGAAGACAATTATTACATTTAAATTATCTTCTATAGAACGTAAATAACCATCTTCATTAAGGCGGCTATCCAATACGAGAAGACCGGATATTTGAGCATTTAGAATGCCATATCTTCGCGATGTTTTTGACCATCCAGAATGACTGCGCCAAATAAAATCGCATCGCCTGTTTTCAAAAATACATTGATAAAAATTATTGAATAAATTCTAATAAAAAATTGTTTTGTTGCAAATTTTTCACTTGGTTGCATATCGCCAATTTGAAACTAATACTCATATAAAGCTTTAGTAAAAATATTTGCACACCAAGCGAAGATAAATATTTTGCATCAAGTAATATGCATGTATTGCATTCAAAATATGCCACTGTTTCGGAAACAATCCTGAAAAATGACCATCGTACAGTATTTAACTACATACTAGTTAGTATTTGGAAATATTGTTAATGGATTACTGAAAATTTTAGATTTTATTTACGTTTTACTCAAGCCATTTTATCTACAAATCTACAAAAATTCAAAATTCTTAGTAAAAACTGTAAAATTAACCCACTTTGCCATTCATATTTCGACAATTTGCCATAAAAGCACGAACATTTGAACATGTTCAGTTTTAACGTTCAATAATGCGCTTGAAAATTTATGGTGTCTAAAAATAACAAGACATTGTATAAGAAGGTGCGATAATTAAGATTCAATATAAATGCTCTTAAAACATCGAAGACAAAGTTCTCAAAATACATGCCCACACAATTTTCCCATGGAAACCACCAGCATTATTATATCAAACAAGCGCATGAATTTACTTTCTAAACACTATTTGACGTCCCCACAAATCTTAATACTAACAAGAATTTAGGAATTTAAGTCGTGATTTACGTTGTATGGAATAATGGCCATAGAATAGCGATACAAATGAACGGGTATAAGATATAAACATACAGTTACCGGAGCTAATGGTCTGGAAAATATTCGTTTTAAATTGCGCAAAATCTAGTAAAAGTGATAAAGCGCTGAGCTTAAATAATAGTGCTTGCGCTATTATATTATATGCTGAAAACATATTGCCGACAAAGATGTAATAATGTTTTATTAATATTTTCATTTGTCGGCCTAGATGTGAGGTGATCTATCTTGTTTGAATAGATAGATATCATATTGAAGATAACGATTGCTGGTGACAAATTATTTAAACCTCTAAGTAAGTAAAGTAAGAGCACTTTAAAGAAAGCCCGTAAATAAGATAATTCCTTGAGGCTTGTCACTCCCAACAGATGCAGTATACACCTTTCCACTACCAACCTAATATTTATTCGTCATTAAATATCTTCTTAATGTATAACATTTTATCAGATAGGAAACTTGTCATCGACTAATCGCCAATCAGTTGTACGAAAGCAACGGGGAACATCTTTAATAAGCATAATCACGTAGTTTTGAAAAGCGTGTGATGCTTTATATCCTGAAGTTGAAGAACGCATCTAAAGGTTTTATTGGGACTCTCATGTAGATGCCATTAAAAATTCATGAATAACGTATCTTATAACAGAGAGGTTGAGGTGATGTTTAATAAACTCATGAATTCGATCTGCAAATTATCAAACACTGAAGAAGACAAAAAAGTGGAAAAGCAAGTCTGATTTGATTTAATAAATAATTTTAGTTGAATAAACCATATTAAAGCAAATAAAAAAAGTGTTTTTATGATAATATCAGTGTGTATCTGTAAAATAAGGAATGTTAATGCTATCAATACGACAAGCAAATAAAAGTGAAACTAGTGAGTTAGTGCCTGAGAGTTCCCTGATTTCATGTTCCTACCACGTTCCATTCACTCTAAAAGAGTTTGATAAGTAATTTAACAAATTAAACATAATCTGCATCATTATGTGCATAAAGGAAATACACTCGAATAAATGGCAAATTTATGGCTATTAAAATTGTTCTACCAAACTTTAACATTTGCTACTTGTGCTGCAATTGCATAGTACATACTTCCTTTTTTCCGTTTTCGTACTCTAAATTATATAAAAAAATTATAACATTTAAAAATCGTGTAAAACCTGACAAGTTTCCTAACGACATACTTCATATATTTACATTTACTTTAGCCATTAAAATCTTATTTCCAGTGATTAAAGGATTGACTGAAAAATATGAGCTATCGGATGACAGGACATGATTAAGCACGAACGTTGGAATTAATAAACGCTAATTTCAGGTAGTCAGGGCAAGTAAAATTGTCAGTACGGCAGCTTTTGATCTTTAACGATGATATAACATTCATTTCCTTCAAACAATTAGAGACCTTTGAAGAATATAACGAGGTTTATTTCGATTTAGTTCTGGCAGCTGATTATAAACAATATTTCACCTAAAGAGTTACCAAACTAGTTACTAATTTTTTTAAAATTAAATGCAATACCAGCGGATGAGGCAATTTTGTAGTTTAATAAAATCAATCAATGAGAGCGTACATGTTAGCACAATTACTACATTTTTTAGATACAATTTTAACAACGAAAAACGAAAGTAATGACTAGCACAATATTCGCAAAATTGCAGAAAATTATGTATAAAAAAAGTTGTTTTTGAATGAAAAATATAATAAAGTGAATCAAATAATTTGGTACAAAAAGTCGCGGTATGAACACCCTTTTTGATAGAAGGTTTAAACACTCTTTTTCTATACAAATTTTGCGATAACGCAAACTAAATTTTAGTGCAGCAAGTAAGGAGTGAATATAAACTCTCAGAAACTCAGTCTTAGGTAATAATTCTATACCACTAGAATAGTGTAAACTGTAAACGACATTTAAATATTAGTTGGCAGAAACAAGGGTTTTCGAATGTGACAAGTGAATTATCTAGTATCCGGCAGTTAGACTATTTCCACCGTCGATACACGTAAAACAAAAATAAACAGACGATTAGAATGATGAATTAATTTAGCTAAAAGCTTCCTGATAATGTTCAAACCGTTTCGTAGGGTATTTTAATCCCAACGAAGAACTTAGCGGGTCATTTCGACCCGGTGAATTAAAGAAATAACTGAACAGCATGAATATGGAGTAGATCGAGGGATAAGATATATTCAGTTCATCAATTTGCA